AGAGTTTTTGGTGATGATTCTCAGCTTAGGCTGAAAAACTTCAGCTATGGGCTTTTGTACATTGCTTGGAGCAGAACTGCTGGTCCCTGCAGATGCTTTCCCTGGCTCCCATTGCCTCCCAAGTGTACTCAGGAGTGTTTTAGAGCTGTCTTGACCACATGGGATATAGCATTTTAAGTGTTATGGCCAGCACACTTGATGATGCTGTAACAGACTGACCAGCCTTCCTTTTAGAATCATAGAATGGTTTGGATTGGAAGGGACCTTAAAGATCATCTAGATCCAACCCCCCTGCATGGGCAGGGACACCTCCCACCAGACCAGGCTGCTCAGAGTCCCATCCAACCTGCCCTTCAGCACTTCCAGGGATGGGGCAGCCACAGCTTCCCTGGGCAGCCTGGGCCAGCATCTCGTCACCCTCAAAAGAAATAACTTTCTCCTAATACCCAACCTGAATCTCCCCTCTTTGTGCTTCAAACCGTTGCTCTTTGTCCTCTCACTACAGACTCATGTAAAAAGCCCCACCCCAGCTTTCTTGTAGCTCCCTTCAGATATTGGAAAGTTGCTATAAGGTCACCACAGAGCCTCCTCTTCTCTAGGCTGAACAACCCCAACTTCCTCAGCCTGTCTTCTTTTGAAACAGTGTTTGTTACCTTTTTTTAAGGTTTTGGGCCCAAGATAGGGTGTTGTGTTGGGGTGCTATTTGCAGCCAGTTCCAGCAGTTTGCCTGAGGTCCAGATCACTTTCTTGTGGGAGAATCACTGATTTGCATGCACAGTGAACAAAAGGATCCTCCACTCTGGAAAAACAGATCTGACACACCTCTGCTTTCCAGAGTGGGAGGTCCCCAAACAAAACCAGCCTCCCTTAGGTCCCTGAAGTGGAGTTCAGTTGCTGCCCAGACAGAAGGCAGTTTCCCATCCAAGCCTGTGGTGGGAGGTAAAGCCACAGGGAGTGTCAGAGAGCATGTGTGGGAGGGGGCTGGAAAGCCCCTGCTGGAGAGGGTCTGCTCTGAGCTTCTAAAAACAGCTCAGCCTTCTTGTGGTAGCCCATCTAATTAACAGTTTTTGTAGCTCCCTTCAGATATTGGAAAGTTGCTATAAGGTCACCACAGAGCCTCCTCTTCTCTAGGCTGAACAACCCCAACTTCCTCAGCCTGTCTTCTTTTGAAACAGTGTTTGTTACCTTTTTTTAAGGTTTTGG